GGACAATTTCCACTGTTTGTTTCCAGAGTGACTTGGAAATCTAGAATGCTTGTTTTTCCAATTGCTCATGCTTGATGAAACACTGTGTTCTGGTCTGCCAGCTGGGTGTGCCAGGTGGGGTTGGCCCTTGCAAAGGGTGGGGGGTGGGGCGATTAAAGTGAGTTCAGTGAAGAAGCGACTTATGGAAGGTGTGGACAGGTTAGGGGACCAAGGAGGCCGAGTGACCTCAGGACTAGCAGGGTCCCTTGGGTGGGTGGGGGTTGGGCTGTGGGACCACAGAGCTGGACCTCCTTCTCCTGCTCTTATTCTCCCTTTGGCAGAGCCGAAGTGGCAGCTGGAGGGCAAGGGAGCTTGGGTGGCGTGGTCTGTGGGGTCCGAGCTGAGCAAGACCAGAGCAGAGACCTGATTGATCATTCACCCGATGGGGTGATTGTTTTGCGATGATGGCTCATTAGACTTGACTGACATTTATTTGGTGAGTTCTGTGCACCACGCACGGTGCTGAGTGCTTGCGGATATGGTGGTGGATACAGTTCCTGTCCTCCTGAGCTCTGTGGTCGAGAGTAGCAGTTAGTGACCGTGAAAGTGTCTCTGTGCCCATCTGAGGAGGCCTGTGTTCTGCAAGGGACATTTGGGGGCCGAGGTGTGATGTCTCAAGCAGCTCATAATCCCTAAGCTGTTCTCTGGACTCCACGGTGCTATGGCTTTTCGTGCCAATGGACTGCCTGCCGGATGTGTACTTGGCCTCGTCGTAGAGAAAAACGAGTGTGCATTTGCCGGTCACGTACTGTTGGAGGACTAGCAGCCAGGGAATGTGCAGTCATGAAGCAAAGGGAATTTGTGATCACTAGAACACAGTGGAAAACCCATACGTCAGCGATGAGAACCTGATGGGACAAATGTTGGTGGCCACCAACACTGGCGTGTTTCACGTGATCTTCCACTTAGTTACAAAAGCCCCTTAGCTCACCTGTGGCAGAAGCATGTTTTCCACAAAGCCCATGTTCTCCCAGGGCCCAGAAGCGTGTCCCACATCTGCTGTGAAGGCTGCTCGTATCCCAGAGGTCAAAGCCATGGACTTTGCAGCTCTAGATCCCTTCCTCCTCTACAGAAAGGGCTGGTGGCTGCCGTGTGGGTGGGGAGAGGGCCCCAGCTAACCTGAGGGGCCATCCGGGCAGCAGGTCAAGGGGGACAGCTGAGGTCAGGCTGGCTCAGGCCTTCCACATTCTTAGCTTCTCTGGGGTGACCCACAGCTTGAGGCGGGAGGGCTGGTTGGGCTTTGGAATCAGACCTGGATTTGAAGCCTGCCTTTCCTACTTTATAACTGTGAGCTCTTAGGAAAGTGTTTTTCAGAGCCTGTTCCTTCAGCTATCAAGTGGGAGTGGGATCCGTAGTTTTACGGTTTAAGAGATACATTAAGAGCCTGTGCTCGGAGTGCCCAGCACAGGTGTGGTGTGTGGTATCTGCTCGGTGAGTACGCCGTCCTCCCAGCTCTGCCAACAATGTCCAAGGGCTTATCTGCCTATCACAGTTCGTGTCTCTGGCTTCTCACAGAGCCAGCTGCGTGCCTTGGTAAGTTGTCCCTGATTTCAACTTGCCAATCTTTTTGGTCTTTACTCCTAGGGCCAAACGATGGCCCTAACTTGGCCTGCCTTGTCATCGTGTGCCAGGCTGACTCCTGAGCAGCATTTACCAGCCTGCTGCCTCGGACTCCTCCGCTCCAGGCCCAGCTGGAGAATCTGGCCTGCCCTGTGCTTCCGAGCTTCTGCATTCAGAGCTCCCTCTGGAGATTAGTATCATGGCACCTGGGAAAGATGCCTTCTACCCCACCCTCCCAGTGGTCCCTCCTCAACATCTGGAAGCCCTTCAGGGACAGGCCCTTGGGGTTCCTGTTGTCACCCACAGAACCTAACGTAAGACCTATTTAAAAATGGTAGGTGGACCCCAGTGAAAAAGCAAAAGGGGAAGGCTGCTCATTCATGAGGTCTCCAAGGTCATGAGTGTGCAGCCCTCAGCAGCCCTGGTCCCCCACCAACTACAACTCTCCCCCGCCTGGACCCGACACCTGGGACACAGGCCTCACCTGAACAGCGAACCCAGTCAACCCTGGATGAGGCCATCTATTGTGGACCAGCTCTGATGTACAATACGTGAGCTATAGCTCAGTCCGGTTTAAATCTTTCTGGCCAGGTGCTTCCAGATAATGTTAGAGGTGGTGGCTGTATAATGTCAAAACTATCTTTCAGTGAGAGACTGATGCTATTTTTTGGGGGGGGGGGTATTAAAAACCATTTACAGTGTTTCTGCATTTCTATTTTAGACAACTCTGGAGTTTTTGTTTTTTTTAGACAAAAACTTTATTTCTTGTGCTTATTCAGAGGAACAGTGCCTCTAAGATTTTAATGTACCCAAGTCTTCATGAAATCTGAAGATGCGGATTCTGCACTGGTGACAAGCCCCCAGGTGCTGCTGGGGCTGGGACCACACTCAGAGTCGGGCGACAGCGGCAGGCGACGGAGGAGGCCAGCGCCATACTCGCCAGGCGTGTTTTCATGCCGTGACCAGCCGTGTTTGCAGACTTTCTGGAACATCTATTAAGAAGTCTGAATGGTCCTTTATGAGGGGGGCTCTGAATTAGCCCTCTCCCATGCTGCAGTGAGTTCCTTGGGCAGTAAGACCGCTCCTTTCATGGGTTATTTTCTTTTATAGCTTTTTACTTCGGTTATGCCTCACAGTTGCCCTCCTGGAAGACGCCTTTGAAGTTGGTGTTAACGACATGTGACTCGGGATTTATAGTCGTCATGTTTCCTCCTTTCCCAGGCCGCCAGCGCTCCTACCTGGCCCTGCTGTGACCTGGCCAGCGCCGTCCTTAACCAGAGGGTTCTCAGAGCCCCCCTCTCCCCGGAAGAGGAACTCGGGCCCCCCCCCTCACAAGCCCCCTTTCTTTGAAGAACTTTCCCCAGCAATGGACCGATATTTCATTAACAGGTAACAAAACTACCTGGCTCAAATGTTCTCCAGCAGCCGGCGAGGGCGGCAAGGCGGCCTCAGGCTCTGAGGAGCTAGCGAGGCAGCCGGAGGGAGAGGCCGGCCGTTCACGCCTGAACCAGAAATGTCAGAAACAATTCAGCAGCAGGGGCTGGAAACAGTTTTATTTTTTGCTGTTGGGGGAATGAAGGGGACAGAAGAGAGTAATGAGGAGGAGGGAAGGCTCTCCAGGGTCGCCTCTCCCACAACAGCAGGGCAGGGCCTGTGGAACGGAGTGGGTTATGTGCAGTAAGGGACCACCCCACAATGGGCCAGCTGCGTGAAGACCACAGAAATTGTAGCAGGGGAATTTTTAAGTTAAAAACGAGGGTGGGGGGCGCCTGGGTGGCTCAGTTGGTTAAGCGACTGCCTTCGGCTCAGGTCATGATCCTGGAGTCCCGGGATCGAGTCCCACATCGGGTTCCCTGCTCGGCGGGGAGTCTGCTTCTCCCTCTGACCCTCTTCTCTCTCGTGCTATCTCTCACTCTCTCTCAAATAAATAAAATCTTTAAAAAAAATAAAAACAAGGGTGGGGGCAACACAAAGAAACGAATAGCTTTGCATTTGGTGCATTTCCTATGTCCATGGAGGTTTGCCTGGGGGGAAACGGAGGGCAAACAGTGACCTCAGGCCCCTGGGGCAGCTACGCCAGGGGCGGGGGAACAGACCCCTCCCAGGCGGGGCCCCTGCTCGGGGACAGAGCGGCTACGCGCGCCTGTCTGCTCGGCTGGTGTCCCATCTCTGATGAAGAGGCAAGGCTGACTAGAGAGAAGCCCAGGCTGGGGCACCGAGCCAGGCCCAGCAGCTCGTCTAGTGCGGGCCTGCGGGGCACGCGACTAGGAGGGCTCCCCCGAGAGAGGCAGGGCTGAACCTGCCCCTTGTGGTGGAGGGTGAAAAGGCAGGGCCTCCGGGTCTTCTAGAACAGTCTGCCAAGTGGCCTCCGCCTCTCCATATAGGCACAGAGTCCCTGCCTCCTTGTCAAAGGCCCAGGCTGGAGCAGTGTCGGGGACGCATGTCACCGGGGTGGCTCTGGCAGTGGGTGACCTTCGTCCCCTACCCTTGGTCTCCTCCTCCTACCTTTAGAAAGCTCATGTCAAGGACAAGCAAAAGAAGCCTCTTGACAAAATCATTCTTAGACCCCTCCCCGCGCCACAGGCCAAAATAGTTTAAAAAGAAGTCTTAGGAAATTGTTGGTCCTTTTTTTTTTTTTTAAGTTCATCTTGTAAATGCTGAAAACCAAACATCCCCAAATTCAACACTACTAGCCTGATTTTAAGACCCAGGAAAGACCCTGGTGGCATGTGTCACCCATCAGCCGCCCCCCTGAACTTGGCAGGACCTCCAAGGCAGATGGACGGTGGGGAGCTCTGTGGGCAGTTTCTAGATGCCAGTGGCCTTGCTCCTCAGAGGCTTTCCCTCTGCCAGAGACTCGCCAGGGACTCACCAGGGAGCCGAGCAGGCTGCGAACCTGGGGCGGCTCATCAGAGAGTGGCAAATGACAGACACCAGGAGGGAAAAGGGCATGTTCAGGCGCTAGAGATGCTCTGAACACCTCGTGCTTCATTCCCCATTTGCCTCATTCGCAGGAGGTAGGTACCCCTTAACGGTTAGCTGATTTAGAGATTATGCTCATCGTAGCCCCTGACAAAATCAGGGTCTTGCCACTGAATCCAGCCAAGGAAATTGGTTAGCACAGTACTCAGTACTAAATTCAGTTAAAACTAGGACTCTGGAGAAAGGGGAGTGTTCTGATCTCTCCCCAGCTGTTTCCTAAGTTCCTCCATCCTGTACGACCCTCAGATTCTTTCTAGCTCTAAGTAAAGCTGTGCTCGGCCTCCCCGGCACCCCTTCCCTGGGGGGGATGTAAGAAGCTCCAAATCCGTGTGCAAGTGGGGATGGTGGCAGATGAATCCGTAATGCAGGGCAAGGGGTGACCGGTGACACACAGGTGTCTACACATATGCATACATGTATATAGAAACAAAGTATTTTAATTCTCTTTTTACATGGCCCCAGGCCTCCTCCTGTCAGAACTCCAGCAGCCCCCCCCCCCCACCCACCTTGTGGCTGCGAGGTGCTGGGTGTGGCGATGGCCTTTATGGCCTTTAGTACGGGTCGTCCCGGCCAGCTGGGGCAAGTCACAGCTGAAATTCTGCACAGACCGCTGTACGGGGCCATGAGCAGCCCCTGCCTCTCCAGTTGACCGAACCTCAACTCCAGCTGCAGTGTGTCCCAGCTGTCAGAAGCCTCCAAACACCAGTCATGCAGCTTACACCTACTCTGGATTTTTAGAAAATATTTATACAGAGCGAGCACAATCAACGTGCTTATTACGCACTCTAACGTAGAGCACAGGAATACACACCATGGAGCGCAGCCCCGGCCGGCTCCAGCGCGGGCAAAGGGCGGAGGTCAAATGTGCGCACATGGCCTGGCGGCGGGAAGAGGCAGAGCACCGCAGGCCACACCCTTCCACGTGCCCCGGCCGACACCGAGAACCCGTCTTCTTTGTCCCGTTGGTGGCAGGAGCAGTAACCGAAACTCTGGCATTTTCTGAGGGCAGAGGATGTCAGACCATCTGTTGCGGAGGGAGGGAGGATGGCGGAACCCAAAGATTATGTAGAACTAACTGCCGAAGGTCAGGCTGGCTCAGGAACCCCAGGCAGAGGTCTGCTCTGTGGTGGCCGGGACTGGCTTTGGGGGCCGAGGAGGGCTGACATGGAATCTCTCAGACACACACATTCTCCCCCTTGCGTGCCCCGGGTTTGGGGGGGGGGGCGTGGGAGTGCACTTCCAAGAGTGGACACACAAATAGATTGGCACACTCTCTTGACACAGTGAGGGTATCTTTTAAAAGCTCCTCCCTGGCTGCTGCAAATTCTCTTCCCCACTCTGCTCTAGAACTTTGCACTCCTAAGTTGGACCAGGTCTGGAGGGGAGGCCCCCTGGACCATGCTTGCGAGGTTTGTATGTGCCCGGGAAGAACACCAGCGTGGGGACAGCTGGGAAGTCTTGCCAGGGGAAAGCCAAAAGGCCTTCTGCCACCTTCCACACAGGTCTCCCCTTTCCCTGCTGCGTAATAAACCGCTCACGGCTCATCCCGGCTCACCAGGACTCCCTGAAGAGTTTCCGGTACTGCTTCTACTCAAAAACATGTTGGGAGGAAAAAAGGTTGGTATGTTGAGTTCTGTTTTTGCATTTCCAGTAGTAAGTGCTGTTCCACGAGCTCCGAGGAAGTGGGCCCTAGCCCTCCTTGGGGCCTGTGCTAGGAGCTCTGGATTAGGCGTCTGTAATGGGGCATGACTTCATGCTCCGGCAGATGAAGAGCAAACTCCAAGGCCACTAACACTGGGAATTCAAAGGCAATCAGTTCTCGTCTATTTAGCCGGAACTTCTCTTCCAGTTTCTGCAACAGAATGAAAGGAAATCAAGAGCATTTTAGCTTTGAAATAAAAATCTCTCTCCATGTGTACGCTCTCTATCCACCCGGCAGTGAGTGTTTACGGAGAAACCACTTAGGGGCAAGACTGTGGAGGAAGAAAGAGGGGCATCAGCTGTACTTCCTGCTCTCAGTCCTAGTGGAGAAGGAACTGAACCACCCCAAGGATGCGCGGCCTGCCAGGCACCTGACATACGGCCCCTGACTTCATTTAATCTCTCAATAATCATGCAAGGTCAATGCTATATTCATGTCCCCTTCACGGGGCACAGAGAACAGGGTCAAGAGAGCAAGAAGTTTGTCTACGGGGACACGCACAGTCAACTGCAACGCTCAGCTCCAACCTCAACCGGGGTTCAAACTCCACCTGTTACCGTAGATGATTCAGGTGTGGAGGGAAGACGACAAAGGTCACAAATCCTCTACGACAGTAGTAACTCTGTGGTAAGTTCAGGATTGGGGCAGCTGACTATGCAGCTTGGGCCTTTCGTTTCACACGCAAGGACCCAAGACCTGCTGCGATCACCTGCCTTTCAGGCCATGGTCCAGCTGGAGCCTGTGGGTGTGAAGGGCCTGAGCATGCAGCTGTGCTCAGCTCGCACCCAGGGCCTCCCCCTCCTCCTGCACAGCCTCTCGCTCCACCCAGTGGTGGAGGCTGCGGGAGCCGAAAGGAAGGAGAACGGGGTGGGGGTGGGGAGGTAGGGAAGGCCTTGTTTTTGCCAGGGTGCATTCTGCTTTGGCTTAATAAAAACAAGGACAACAGAACTCATGGGCAGAGCCATTAGCGGCCATGTTCCAATAACAAATGGGAGGGGACCTTGAGTCAGCCTCACAACTCCTGCCAATGTCTGACCGTGGCCCGTAGGTTCTGCATGGACACTATAGGCTTTTGCCGGATGGTCCATCACTCGACTACCAATAAATGTGCATAACATCACACTCGTAAAGATTAGTTCAGTGAATATGTAAATCTGTTGATTCTCAGCTCTGATTTGGTAACCAAAGATCCCTTCCATGTTCCTAAAAGTATATACAAGTTAGACAATTATGCGCCATTTCTTAGAAGCAGTAAAGCACTGACTTAACACTTTCTCCCATCTATGGATGAACGGATAAGCAAACTGTGGGATATACAGCCAGTGAGGTATTATTCAGCCTTAAAAAGGAAGGAAATTCTGACACCTGTTACAGCATGGATGGATCTTGAAAACCTAATGCTAAGAGAAATAAGCCCGTCACAAAAGACAAATAGTATGGGATTCCACTTACGCGAGATCGCTCGAGTCAGGTTCAGAGACAGAAAGCAGAACAGTGGTGGCCAAGGCCTGGGAGGGGAGGGGGAGTCAGTGCTTAATGGGGACAGAGTTTCAGTTCTGCCAGAAGAAAAAGTTCTGGAGATGGATGGTGGTGACGGCCACACAAGAGTATGAGTGCGCTTGATACCACTGAACTGTACACTTAATAAAAACGGTAAGTTAAAGCAAAAAAGAATACTCTTTCTTATGTGGGGAGTACCTCCAACAGCTCCCTTTCTGCTTTTTCTCCTTTGCCGCTGAGCCAGCCGCACAACCAGACACACAGGGCATTGTCATAGCCACGACTTGTAGTTGCTGGATTCTGAGCTTTGCAGTCTGGGGCCTCGCTGACCCTGGAGGCTCAGCCCCTTTTAGGTAGGGTTAGCCAGTTCCTAGAGAGGGCGCACAACTAGCCAGTTCCCAGAGAGGGTGCACACCTTTAATGTGCAAACCAGCCAATCTCCACCATCTCCCCCATCTGCCTCTCACACTCCACTTGCCCTCAGCACCCAGGGCCAGGGAGACAAGTAGGGACAGCGCAACTGCCCCAGAGTCCACTCAAATGACTCTAGCTAGCCAGTCCGAAGCCTGCGTACCCTGACTGTTCCTTCCTGCCCACAGTTCCCCCTTCTCCTTCTGCCTCCTGACCAACCACAGTACGGTGTTTCCCGGCCCCCCCCCCGCCCCAATTCATATGTGGACACCCACATATCCAACGTGCTGATATTAAGTGGGGGGCTTCAGGAGGTTGAGGAGCTGATGAGTGCAGTCCTCAGGATGTGATTAGTGCCCTTGTAAGAAGAGAGCAGAGAGCTTGCTTGTTCACTTGCCCTGCCATGTGGGGACACAGTGAAAGAGAGGCCGTCACAAGCCAAGGAGGGCGCGCTCACCAGGACCTAAGTCGCTGTCACCTTGATCTGGGGACTCCCTGGCCTCCAGAACCGTGAGAAGAAAGTGTCTGGTTTAAGCCGCCCCATCTATGGGATTTTGCTATGGCAGACCGAGCTAAGCCACTTCTCTTGGGAACTGTGATAAGAAGCTATCTTTTCAATGGCAACGGTCTTCTGATCTGTTGGTTTTACTGTTTCTCAAATTTTCTATGAATACACTATTTTAAAACAGGCATTCACATAGCCACCCAAGATTGGGGTTTCCTTGCTTTGAGGGGGCTCTCCTTTAAAAGGAGGAGGGACCCCTCAATCAAACCCATGCCTTTCCTCAAAGGAGAGGCAACTAAGGCCACAGGAAGCCAAGGTCTGTTGAGCCAAAGTGTCTGACGGACGCTCTGTGGTCACACTGCCCCCAAGTCCCCTTCCCGTGACAGTGGCTTCTGTGGTTTGAGAATAATTTCACCCCTCATGGTGTCTGGAAATGTATTTTTGTGGCCAGACCCAATACTGGGGATCTTCGGTCTTGTCAAAGTGGACCATCCCTCTGTTCCAGGACAGCCTGAGCTGTGGGGGACCCGACCTCCACTGCAGGATGACCTCACAGCTCCGGTCTCTCAGTGGCTACTAACAATCAGAATTCTCCTGGGTAGGATCACCACCCAGGTTCTTCCCATGTGCTCCCTCAGCCAACAGAACTCAGGTCACTCACGTCAATTAAATGCTTCACTTCATGCTTTTTCAGGTCACTTCCGATTTTGGCTGCTAATAGTACACATGCTCCAGCACAAAGCTTCCGGTTCTGTTTGTTTAGCTTTCCCTTGAGGGCGAGCTTCTCAAAATAGACAAAGGCCATGGCCACTGTGGGCTCCTCGAAGCCACAGTCCTCCTGGGCAAGCTTCCGCATCTCTCGCTTCAGACTAGAGAAAGACAGGAAGGAACATTATCAGAACTTGGCAGTTTCAGGACTCCAAAGAGAAAGACTAGTCCGTCCTGAAAGCATTTCCTTTTTCTCATTCCCAGAAGGGTGACATGGAATGGGACTAAATCCTGAGGCGTAAGAAATTTCCATTCTACGTGGGTAACAGACTTAAGCTGCTGGGGCTCTTTTCTCTTGGTGGAACTGTAGACCACATCAACAAGGGACACAGAAGGCCACACTGAACCCAGGTGGTGTCTGAGGGTCTCTGGAAACTAGGTGTAGAGCTGTCCAAAGGGAAACTATGAGGGGAACTATGATCATTCCAGACAGACAGCTAGAGAAATAAACTAGGTCCTTGGTATCAACTCTACTGAGGATCTGCCATGTTCAAACACTATGACGGAAGAGGGATTAGGACAGCACAACAGCCAGGGTACTGAGGAATGCTACCCAGCAAACGGACAAAGTGTGACTACTTCATTTTTCTCACATCTGGCTTGGAACATGCCAGAATCAAATCAGTATTGGGCTACACAGCATGTAAGTATTGGCACATACTCCCACGCTGTGCTGGCATATAGTCTAGCTTCCGCCACTATGTGCACTGAGCGTCTGTCCTGATAGACGCAACCCCAGGCAGCTCCTCTCCGACCCGGCAGATGTGGGTCACCACAAAGTCAATCCAATCAGCTGCAGGGGAAACATGGGCCTGACTTTGCTTTGGCTGTCAAATCTCGGGTGGACGACTGTGGGCGAAGAATTATCTCAAATGCCATCAAACCAACTCTTTTCTGTTTTGTCTACATTTGAGAAAGCAGGGAACTGAATGTTTCCTATTCTGAGTTTTCTGTAACATAACCCTGACTGAACTGCTAAGCCTCAGACAGTAGGAAACACTGATTCTTTCACTTAAGGAAACTCCCCTCACACCCATGTCAACTCGTGTCAAGAGCTCTGCCTTCTGCCCTGCTTCTCTTGGCTCTCACTCACGGAGGCAGGAGTCAGCCAACACCGGGTGAGCCGCTCCTTGCCGCACGCACCTGTGTTTCACTTCCCCAAACTACACGAGGAACCAGCATACAAAGCGTGAGGTTATTCACGCATGCCACGAGAGGGCCTGAATGGAGAGTTCAAGCGGATGTCGAGCCTCACGTACCTCCTTATTTTGCTGAGCGTTAACTTAATGTGAGGAAACTTCTCCTTGAAGGTCTCATTCATGTCCTTCTTGAGATCTGAGGGCTTCACGTAGTCGATTACTGTGGTCTGTAACAGGTCGGGCAACTCAGGTCACTCTTTTAAAAATTTTTTTTAAAGATTTTATTTATTTATTTGAAAGAGAGAGACAGCCCCAGTGGGGAGGGGAGGGCAGAGGGAGAGGGAGAAGCAGACTCCCCACTGAGTAGGGAGCCTCACATGGGGCTTGATCCCAGGACCTTGAGATCATGATCTGAGCCGGGCTCCCTGCTCAGCGGGGAGCCTGCTTCTCCCTCTGCTGCTCCCCCTACTTGTGCGTGTGCTAAGTCTTAAAAAATAAATAAATAAATAAAATAAGGGTCATGGGTAACAATTATGTGCACATTATGGCCAACTTATGCCACTTCTGACAGCACCAAGCAGTGAGGAAGCCCGGAGGAGAGGCACAAGGGCCCCCCTGAGCCCGAGCACCTGCAGGGACACGGTCTCTGGGACACAAATCCCTGCTCCAGCAGGCGACTTTGGGAAGCAGTGGCCTCCACACAGCCAGCAATCAGTGTCTGGCAGGGAGGGAGCCCCTCTTTCAGTTCCTGGGCCTCAGCCTGTTACTTAGCAGCGTTTAGGGCACGGCCGGTAGACCCGCACACATGAGGCTTCAAGCCACACTTGACCATCGCTAGTCGTTCGGCTGTGGGACATTTATCTAACTACCCCAAACATCAGGTTCCAAATCTGTAAGATGAAAACAGCTAACAGTGCCTACTTCACATGGCTATTATAAGAACTACAGGGGAAGTCAAGGGCTCGGTGCTGCACTTGGCATACAGCAAGCACTCGATAAACGTTAGCTATTTTTTCGTCGTGGGAAAACGTACATCACACAAAACTTACCGTTTCAACCATTTTAAAGTACGCGGTGTGGTGGCATTAAGTACATTCATGCTGGTGTGTGGCCATCACACCACCCATCTCCAGAACTTTCATCATCTTGCAAAACCAAAATTCTGTCCCCCCTTCAACAACTCCCTGTTCCCCCACCCCCACCCCAGCTCCCACTGGCAACCGCCATTCTGCTGTCTCTGAACCTGACTTCTCTAGGTCCCTCGTACAAGTGGAATCATAACAGTGTTTGTCCTTTCGTGGCTGGCCTGTCTCCCTCAGCATCATGTTCTCCAGGTTCAACCACAGTGCATCTCAGGTCAGAATTCCCTTCCTTTTTAAGGCTGGGTAACCTTCCATTGCGTGTACATGATGTCAGCTACTAGTAACAGTCCTTTAAACCTTCGGTTTCTTTCTCTTCACCTCCCCTTCTTTTTTTCGGCAGGCTCTTAGCCCAATGTGGGGCTTGAACTCACAACCCTGAGATCAAGAGCTGCATGCTCTCCAGACTGTGCCAGTCAGGCGCTCCTCCCCTCCCCCTTTCTAATCCCATCCATCTTTAAAGACTGGTTCCTTCGAGCCCCTTCTGAGGCCCCGGGTCTTCCTGGCTCATCTGTGCTGTATGGTATTAACTCTGAATGAAACACAGTCTCTGGCTGGGTCTCACCAGGTTAGCCTCACTCCTCCTCCTCGGGATTCTGCTTTCGAAGGGCAGCAACAATGCCTGATGCCTCTCTGGCTGGCTGTTGGCAATAACCTTCACCAGGCAGAGCCCGGGAAAAGGAGCAGATATGGATTCTACCCAGAAGTCCCGTTCCTGGGGACGGCTTCTGCGGCCTGGCCTCTCCCGAGGGACACATCATCACGTTCCTCCATGGCTCTACACCAGCGGGTGGCTAGCTGTAAACACCTCCGTTCAGAAGACGCTTGACCGGACAGGATTTTAGAACTGGCACGTGGGAGGCCTCTGGTGTCCATTAATAACCGAGGAGACACAGCCAGCATGTCCCGATTCACACTGATCTAAACAGCACCTTTGTAACAGCAGCTTTGGCGAGTAAAAGCGAAACCATGGCAAGATGAACTCAAAACGGTTCCACCAAACTTGTTCAGAACCTTCTCAAATTCTGGGTGGAAGCAGACTTGGTGCGATGCCAAGAGTTCTTCCATGGCGCCATGTCTTTCTGGCCCGATCCAGAAGGCTCTCCCTCAGCTGGCCCAGGACACAGCCGTTCTGGGAGCCGCCCTGTGCACGCACCTGTGATGTGCTGGCAAGGACCTAGGGAGTGGCTCCGTGGCCCCAGTGTGCAAACACAAGCATGCACACACTTGTGTGCAGTGATGTTGTGCTGGGTGGCAAGAGGAGTGGGGCATGGGACTTCACGGAGGCACTTACTGTCTCGCAGAGTGGACGCTTCCCCTGTGGCAGCCCTCCAAGATGCATTTATCACCCCTGGCAGACGGGGCTGAACAGGATGTACGATTTGTCATTTAGGAAAGCAGCAGCAGAATGGGGAACTACCTCTAACACGGTTACCTCAAGCTGGGCCCGCTGTCCAATCAGCCAATTCTTCTGTTCCCAAAATACCCAGCCCGCCCTCCCTCTTCTACCCCACACCAGGCACCCCGAACTCTCAGGGACAGACTCTCCTGCTCATCCTTGGTGGATGCAAGTCTCGAGCAGACTCACAGGCCTTTGCTGGGGACTGAAGCCCAGTGAGCTCCAAGCAAGGATATCCCAGAGCGGAAAGGGGTGGTCTGGATCCTTCCCTGTGGCAGCCACAGCAGCTCTGCTCTGCCCTGTACGCAGATACACACACAGAGAAGCGGCCTGCAGCTGCGAGCCAGCCACCTCGTCTCCCGGACGTGGACGCAGAGGCTCAGAGGGGGGAAGGGGCAGGGCCAGCCCCGGAAGCCGGGGCTCCCAGCTCACCACCTGCACTGCCTTCCTGCGTTTCCACTCTTAATCGGGCTAAAAGGAGCAGGGGAGCCAGCTCGAGACTGCCGGCAGGTAGGAAGGGCCAGCTGGCGGTGGGCAGCTCTGCCTCCAGCAAGGTGGCAGCCCTGAGAAAGAGGTTCAGCCTCCTGAGGCCTCGCCTCTGCTTCCCTGAATGAGGAAAAACACCTGGCGCGGCTGCTTCACAGGTTTCTCCCGAAGCGCCGACAGAGAGAACACCCCGTACCTAAAGGACACTGGAGAAGTCTATCAGTCTATCAAGAGCACAGAGACAGGAGATGGCAGAGGGCTGGGCTCTGCTCCAGTCGCGCTGAGTCAGCGTGTGAGGGTGGCGGGGGGGCAGAGGGGGTCTGGGATCCATCGCCACAGTCATGTTGCCCCGGGTGACTTGCACACCCAGCAGAGTCTCCTTGTCTGGCTAGCACCCAGCCACGGCTTGGCCTGGAGCTGCTTCTACGGGATCATCTTCCCTAAAGCCCCGGCGGCCAGGTCACTCTTCCAGTGATTCACCTTCACTACACGCTATGGTCTGGAGAGCCGGCCCTCTCCCAGGATGCGCCCTGCTGTACGTCCGGATTCCTTTGCAGCTAGGATTCCAAATACCATTCTGGTTCCTCCTGTCCCACGCACCAGCACAAGAAGGTACCGCTGAAGCAGAAGCTGGGCTTCTTTCTGCTGTTCTTTCCATCTCAGAAGGACCTCACAAACACCAACAACCCAGCTCAGCTTGCAGCCCTGAGCCCAGGCCTTGCAGGAGAGACCGTTTTCACAAGTAAGCCCGTCCTTGCTCTTGGGGTACAGAGCCCAAGGCCTACTTTACCTGAGAGCAGAAGTGGACACGTACATTTACTTCCAGGCTGGTCCTGGAGAGGGGGGCAGATGGCAGGCCAGTGAGCCAACACAGAGTCCCTGGGCCCAATGCCTGGCTCCTAGTGAGGGCAGCACACAGCAGCTGCAGGGAGAGCCAAGCCCTTGAGTCACCTAGAAGCCATCTTCTAGGTGACAGAATTCCTCTGAATCCAGCTCTGCTGTCCAGAGGTACAGAAGCAGCATTCTGTCATCCTCCCTATGTGGAGTTTCCAGCCTTAAGGCCATGTCCTTGCCACTGTTCCCGGCGTAGAGTGGGAAGCCTGCTGGCAGCCTAACCCTCTACTTCTTTATCTGGCTGTCACTGGGCTACTCTGTGGGTCTTTCCTAAAGTAGGTATGGTACATTTAGGGGTGGGGGATCTCTGCAAACCTCCATCTCTGTCAAGCCCCCCCATTTCCTGACCCCCATGTGGCTGGCAGCCTTCAGGACAGTGTGGCAGAGAGAAGGGCTCCACTGGATATGGGAGAGCTGGGCCTGGCCTTTCCAGGCTGGCTGCTCTGAGAAGTCCAAAGGCATCCAGGGAAGGAGAGGAGAATACGGACTATTGGAGGTTGCAGCCACCATCCCCAAGGCACGGGCCCAGTGATGTCATTACTTCAGTCTATCTGCTGACATCGATGGCGGTGGGGTAGGCTGGCTTCTGGGGCAGTGAAAGGCCTCCACGACGCAAGACAGCAGGAGAATGGTGGTGGACTGGAGATGCCAGTCTGAGCACCTTAGGCAGGTAGAGAACCCAACAGTGTTTGCATCAGTTTCCTGGGCTGCCATCACCCAGTACCACAGGCTGTGCGGCTTAAACAATGGTCTCCCGGTTCTGGAGGCTACGAGTCTCAGATCAAGGTGCCAGATGGGTTCCATTCTCTCTCAAACTATGGCTAGAATCCTTCCTTGCTTGTTCCTAGCTTCTGGTAGTCCCAGGCACCCCCTGGCTTGTGGATGCATCCCTGTAGTCTCTGCCAAACCTCACCCGGTATGCTCCCCACGTGTCTGCTCACATGGCTGTCTTCTCTCTGGCTCTCTGTTTATAATGACATCAAGTCATACTGGGTTAGGCCCGCCTTACTCCAGTATAACCCCAGCTTAACTAGTTTATATCTGCAAACAGCCTAGTTCCAAATAAGGGTCACCGTCTGAGGTCGTAGGGGTTAGGATCTCAACCGTTCAACCCAGTGCAGCGGTGCTTGATCGTAAGGGTGCTGCTACACAGCCTTGCGGGGCTCACTCCAGCTGCTCTTCCCAGGCTGGACACAGCTGCCCCACTGGCCGTGGCTCTGACCCAGGCAGCATGTGCTCTTGGCCTTGGTCTCGCTGTGTGGGAGCCCTTCTAGTTTTTTCTTTCTCCACCTCCCTTGCTTGCTGGGAC